ACCAGAAATCTACCAAAAGGCTATAGATTCTATGTTATGTGGAATGCCTGGCACTGTCTGCCACATGAAAGATGTAGTAGTCTTTGGAGAGGATGTATAGTAACTTGAATAGAGACTGAGAAAAGTCTTTCAGAGACTTGTGAACAGAGGAACCCTCAGAGAACCCTCAACAGTGACAAGTACATTTTTTGGTTACAACAGACTGAGATACTTGGACACATGATACAGGAATTAAACTGGAATAGACCCAAGAAAGGTTTAAGCCATCTACAAAGCACACCAACCCGAAAACATTCAACAACTCCGCACGTTCCTAGGCACTTGTGGATTTCTGAGTAAATTCATAACAAACTATACAAACTTATCAGAATCACTAAGAAAGCTGACTAGGAAAGGACAAGCATGGGAGAGGACAAGTGAAACAGAAAGATCATTCCAAGCAATGAAAGAAGCATTAGTGAGTGAGCCATGACTAACCTACTTTAAACTGGATGAACCCATAGTAGTTATTACTGATGCAAGTCCAGTAGGATTAGGTGCAGTTTTGCTAAAGACCCAATCAGATGGACAGAATAAATCAGTTCAAGTTCAAGAATCTTTATTATCCCAGAGGGGCAATTAGTTTCACAGTCAGCAGAGATATAAAACACCCATACTACACAAAACATTAAGACATTAAAATAACAATACGGAAGTCATCAGTGTTCTTTGAGAAGCCTGAACACTACAGGGATGAATTAGATTTTCAGTCTGTTTGTCCTACATCTGGGCAGCAGATACCTGCATCCAGATGGAAGCAACCTGAACTCACAGTGGAGTGGACGATCAGGATCTGCCAGAATCTGCCTGGCCTTGATCACTGACCTCGCCTTGTGTAGGTCAGTGCGGTTCTGTACAGCTATGCCAGCAGTTTTGCTGCACATCCTGACAATCCCCGAGAGTTTGTTCCTGTTTTTGCATGTTAACAATCCAAACCAACAGATGAAGGTGAAAGTTAAAAGTATCAGGTTTTAAACGAGGTCAATGTGGGTAAACCCAGAACAACAGCAGGCTCAGAAAAGTTTATAAAAATATGTTTATTTAAACCAGGGAAGGATGGGGTCGGGATCTGAAAGTGGTAAGAACGAGGATTAGTTTTCTGTGGAGCAGATTCGTCAGGTAAGTTGGAGTGCAATGTCTTCTTACAGATGGGTGCAGAGTCTTCAGCTCTGAAGGTGAGTTTCCAGGTTCCAGGTGTATTTACAGGTGCAGGTGTACAGGTGAATATTTACAGGTTTGTGGAGGAGGCAGACAGGCAGCGTGCAGATGGTCTCAGGTGAGTTGCTCTCAGATCTCAGGTGAGTGTTTCTCAGGAGGCTCAGGGAGTTCCACTCAAACATAAGCGTTGCTTCAGCGAAGTCCTGATCCACAGTGAATCCTTATAAAGCCAGTGAGCAGATGAGTCATCTGTAGCAGGTGAGTATGATTAGTGCTGCCAACCAATCAGGGAAAAAAAACAGCAGCAGCTGAAATGCCTCAAAAAGAGACTCAATAAAACATGAATAAAACATTCTCATAAAAATAGAATCAACATCAAAACCACAGAGCTTCCAATAAAAATATATTCTCTGGTGGGCCTTTTTACAAACTGAGTTCACATGGGGGGTCAAAGGTCAGTTTGTCATCAAGAACGGTTCCAAGATATTTATACTGATGCACAACCTCAACAAAATCACTGTTAATGACCACAGGAGTGGCAACTGAAGAGTTTTTTTCTGAAATCAGTGACCATCTCCTTTGTCTTAGAAACATTTAGCTTTAAAAAGGAAGACTCGCACCATTCAGTGAAGTCTCCAATCACAGGCCCGGGGTCTGGGTCATCACTGCTCAGAAGGGACAAGATGACATCAGCAAACTTTAAAATGTGATGCTGTGGGAAATGCCTGTGACAATCATTTGTATATAAAATGAATAAAAGGGACGGAAGGGCGTAGCCCTGAGGGGAACCAGTAGAGGACAGAAGGACATCAGAGAGAACTGCGTTGATACTCACCCGCTGAGACTGAAAAGTTAAAAAGTCCACAAGCAAACAGATGAGGCTAGAGTTGAGACCGTACATACATTGCAATTTCTTTGCTAAAATGTGGGGCTGAATACAGTTAAAAGTGGGGGATTCCTGGGTTTTTCTGTGACTCACTTTCTTTCCACAGCTAATCACCTCAACTCACTGCACCTGCTGCTGCCTGAGGAGATCTGATCTGGGGCTGTATATAAACTCCTGCCAGACATCTCTTCAGTGCCAGGACATCAACTACCTTATGGTAAATCATTTCAGCCAACTAACCTTTTTCATTACAGCCAGTCCTCAGCGTCTGTGATCTCTCCAGGGCCTTCCACGTCCTGCTCCTTCAAGTCCTCCCAAGGACCTCATCTCTCCACAGTGATTCTCCTGCGGACCAATGGTGTCCCATCAAACTGCAGCCATCAAACAAACCACCTTGGGTCAACGTGCGCCTCTCTCCATCAGTACTCCCCTCTCCACCGGATCTTCCAAAAAATCCAGGACCTCTTCACTCTTCCTCGGGGCGCACCTACAACACAAAAACAGTAAGAGATTATTCTCCATTCCAAATTCATCATTAGCAAGGATTGTCTGAGGGTTTAAGAAAGACTCACCTTGCCTTCTCCTCTCTTCCAGCCCTGTAAATACCTGGCACTGCACCTGTAAATAAAGTTCACTCTGTTGTTCCATCTCTCTCTGCTTTGGGGGTTGCCGCTAAATACAGTTATGATAAAAAGCAATCTTACAAAGATTACAAAGATCGATTTTGAACCAGAAAGACTATCATGAGAAAGTTATGACACTTCTTAGTGAATTAAACACTTATGAACCTCTGAAAAGAGATCCAGGAAGTGGTTACAAGAAGAAGTTGATAGATTGCCTGACAATTTTGGAGCAGGACAAGGCTATTGACCATATTCTGTACCACAGACTGTACCCAGGGGAGGCCACACCTAGTCTGTATGGTTTACCTAAAATCCACAAACAAGGTGCACCTTTAAGACCAATTGTTAGCATGATTAACTCGGTCACTTACAATGTTTCCAAATATCTGGCGTCTGTACTCATCCCTTTAGTTGGCAGCTCAGAACACCACATACAGAACACCATGTACTTTGTGGATAAGGTGAGGGATGTCATCATGAAGACTGATGAAACAATGGTCTCTTTTGATGTCACATCACTCTTTACGTGCATTCCTGTTGATGATGCAGTAGAGGTGGTCAGTTTAAGATTAAAATCAGACACCACTCTGAGCAGCAGGACCATGCTTTCCACAGAACAACTGTGTCAACTCTTGAAACTGTGCCTGCAGTCAACCTACTTCACATACGGGGAGCAATATTATAGACAGAAACATGGGTGTGTATTGAGGTATCCAGTTTTTCCTATTGTTGCCAACCTGTACATGGAGGAGGTAGAAAAGAGAGCCTTGACGTCCTTTTCAGGGACACCACCAAGTAAGTCATTGGTTCAGGTATGTTGACGACACCTGGGTTAAAATTAAATCTCAGGAAGTCCAACATTTTACTGATCACATCAACTCTGTGGATAAATACATCAAGTTCACACGAGAAGATGTAAAAAATGGCAAGTTGGCTTTCTTGGACTGTGAGGTCTCAGCCTCTGATAGAGGACATTTGCAAACTGAGGTGTATGCAAACCCACCCACACAGACCAGTATTTGCAGTTTGACTCCCATCACCCTTTGGAGCACAAGCTAGGAGTCATCAGGACTCTGTACCACAGAGCAGACAGCATCCCCACTAACTCAGGAGCCAGGCAGAAGGAGAAATCCCACACAAAACAGGCTCTAGAGCAATGTGGATATCCTAACTGGGCCTTCCTGAAAGCAGAGAAGAAACCCAAACAGGACTCCAGTCAGCCATCAAGTGAAAAGGAGGAACCCAGACCCAGACCAGTGGTCATTATGTAAGTTGCGGGAGTATCAGAAAAAACTGAGACGTTTATTTTCTAAACATAACGTCCCAGTGGCTTTTAAACCCCTAAATACATTACGGCAAAGACTGGTTCATCCTAAAGATCCAGTCCCCCGGCACAAACAGAGTAATATTGTGTATGCTGTTCAGTGTCAGGAGGGCTGTGATCAGTCTTACATCGGGGAAACTAAACAGCCACTGGCCAAAAGGATGGCCCAGCACAGAAGATCAACATCATCAGGCCAGGATTCTGCGGTCTACACTCATCTCCAGGCCAGCGGTCACTCTTTCAGGGATGAAGATGTTCACATCCTGGATAGAGAGGAACAATAGTATGAGAGAGGGGTAAAGGAGGCCAAATTTGTGAAGAGAAACTGTCCATCATTAAACAGGGGTGGAGGCCTCCGTTTTCAATTGTCCCCCTCTTACAATGCTGTGATTGCTAGTATCACTCAGCCCTCTGTGAATAGTAAACAGCCATCAGGGCGCTAACGAGCATTAGGCTGATGGTCCTCCTTGATCATGTGAACGACTAGTTTTGAATGTCAACAACAAACTGGTTGATCCACTATGAGAAGGTGCTATTTATAAGACTGAGCTGAATACAGCTCCTCAGACTGAAGAAGTCTTTGGGATGAAAGACGAAACTTTTCTACAAACTTTTTTTTGGTTTGTTTTTTGAACGTCCAGAGGACCTGACTTAACTTTTTTGGGATTTTTCTACCTGGATTATTGAGCATGCATCAAGAGATTACCAATGAATTTGCAGAAAGTCTGCATCGACCTCTTAAGCCTGCTGACCAAAATGATTCTATTCTTAAACTGCAGTTGTGGGCCGCAAAAAAACACTCCAAGGGCCGCAAATGGCCCCCGGGCCGCGCTTTGGACACCGTGTATTGGTGTATGGTTGATGAGCAGATCTGCCACATCCAATATGGCGGACGCTCTGACGTACAGCAGTGGGCCAGCCCGCTCCAAGCAAGAGGAGTCTACGTATTTATTTGTTTATAGGCACTCCTCCCTGTAACAAGTCAAAGATCACTGCGGGTCTGTCTTCACAGCTGGGAGATGGCGGACAGTTACAGGTTCCCTGTTTTCTTTGAGTGTCCTAGCAGTCTGTCAAAGAATGAGGAGAAAAAAGTGGAATCATATTTCAGTGTTCGCCGCAGGTCAGGCGGAGGAGACTGTACTTTAACTCGAGTGGACGATCACAGCTACAGGATAAGCTTCAGACATCAAACAGGTACAGTAAATATGGAGGGGGATGTGACTAAATCAGTAAAACGAGTTAAAATATCTGTTCAGATTTGTTATGACTTGCCTCGTTAGAAGGACTCGATCAGACAAGAGTTGATTTAGCGACTTTTTTTTTTAAAGATTTTAAATGCGAAAAAAAAACCTCAAGCAATGCACGCGAATTATCAACTTTAGTCGATAGGATCACGTTATCGAATAATTGTTTATTAATAATAATAATAATAACAGTCACTGAAACTGAAAACCGGACATTTCTTGGGAAAGTGAAACTTAACTCGCGCTGCTTGCCCGTGTAGTGTCGAGTTTTGTTCCCCCGCAGATCTCGCCCCCCACCCTCAGACTTCCTGACAACAGAAAGTGTTCCGCCTGCTTAAATATATACATTTTTGGCATAAAGAAATATCTGAATAAAAATCTCAGCATATGTACTCAGTTGTATGTATTGAACTCGTTTGTGGTTTTATTTTAGTTTTTGTTTACTGCCCAACAAGGCAAAATACTTTAACTATGATAATAATTAATAAATAATAACTATTTGGCTAACAGAAAATGTTTTTCCTGCTATGACAGTCTAAAAAGATCAACATATTTTTCTTTTAGCACATAATTAAAATGCTGTTTGGTAAAAATAACCACAGTTAGGAGGAAAACGAGGCGAAAAGAAACAAACCTTGCCGAGGAAACATATTTCGACAAAACACTGTTTTGATTTCTGTTGTGGAACTCCATAAAAAACATCAAAACTGTTAAAATATTTAAAATAATAATAATAAAAGGGGGAATGAATGAGAGCAATATTTCCTTTAGTCATAGTTCCTGAGTTCCAGGCGATAAAATCTGTCCAGTAGGTTATAAAATAATTTGCTATCACAAAGTGCCCAAGTAAAACTAAATGGGTAGTCCTCAGATTATGAGTTGGAGATTATTCTCATGTACTATCACAACAAATGTAAACTCAGTATATGTAACACTGACTGTTGTACAGTCATTTTTGTATTTAGTGAAGTCAATGGGCTGTGTCGGCCATCTTGAATTAAATAGACTCTTATGGAGGTACAGTATATACAAGTTTCATTAGAATATGTCGGTTAGTTCAAGAGATATTTTGCTAACAGTGATGACTAATAGTAAAGTTTTACACACAGCTCTTAGTGAGCCCTCGGCCACACAGACACAGGTCCGTTGCCTGCTTGTTGCTTTTTGGCAACGTGAGATAATAGATGGGATTAATAGATAACAGATATTTGTTTTAACTACTCAATATTTTAAATATTTAATTGCTGCACTGCAAAAATAAAAATAGTCCCTTGCAAAATGTCATGCATGGCTTCCACAGCTAATGTCATTTACAACATGGTGCTAACAGAGCGCGTGAGTTATTACATCACATGATCGTGCTCAAAGTTGTTTTCACATTGTATAAATTTATTATGCTGTCTTAGCAGTTATGTAGAAAACAAATGCAGTAATTCTGATCAGTTCACGTGATTAAAAAAAAACAAAAATCATCCTTTTTAAAGGGTTGGCAAAATGTGACCTTTGATTCTTTGTATACTTTTTAAATAATAAATCGGTGTCAGAGCAAGAGTTAAAATGCTTTTAGTCTATAAGTCTGCAGATGGTTTTAAATGTGATGTCATCACTCCAAACACATGCAAAGAACAGAATCGTCATTTTGTGTTTTAGATCAACAGCAAGTCCTGAAGAAGTCTGAGCACGTTGTTAAGCTTGCTGAAGGTCGTCTGGTGTTCAGTGTCAGCGATGATCTGCCAACTCCTGCTTCTTCTCCAAACACCACCCCCACAGCTCCAGCAGAGGTCAGCCCAACATTTCACTGTAGTCACTCAGCCCAGGCGGTCTGAGTTTGAAAATGGACTTTGATGTGTATTGTAGTCTAAACTAGAGAAACGTGTGAATGCTTATTGCAGAAGAACTTGCTGAAAAACAGCTGAAATTAGCTAAAAACATACTGAAATGTACAGTGCCTTGCAAAAGTATTCGCCCCCCTTGAACTTTTCAACCTTTAGCCACATTTCAGGTTTCAAACATAAAGATATAAAATTTTAATTTTTTGTGAAGAATCAACAACAAGTGGGACACAATCGTGAAGTGGAATGAAATTTATTGGATGTGTCAAACTTGTTTAACAAATAAAAAATTGAAAATTGGGGCGTGCAATATTATTCGGCCCCCTTGCGTTAATACTTTGTAGCGCCGCCTTTTGCTGCAGTTCCAGCTGCAAGTCTCTTGGGGTATGTCTCTATCAGTTTTGCACATGGAGACACTGGAATTCTTGCCCATTCTTCTTTGTAAAACAGCTCGAGCTCAGTGAGGTTGGATGGAGAGCGTTTGTGAACAGCAGTCTTCAGCTCTTTCCACAGATTCTCGATTGGATTCATGTCTGGACTTTGACTTGGCCATTCCAACACCTGGATACGTTTATTTGTGAACCATTCCATTGTAGATTTGGTTTTATGTTTTGGATCATTGTCTTGTTGGAAGATAAATCTCTGTCCCAGTCTCAGGTCTCTTGCAGACTCAAACAGGTTTTCTTCCAGAATGGTCCTGTATTTGGCCCCATCCATCTTCCCATCAATTCTGACCATCTTCCCTGTCCCTGCTGATGAAAAGCAGGCCCAAACCATGATGCTGCCACCACCATGTTTGACAGTGGGGATGGTGTGTTCAGGGTGATGAGCTGTGTTGCTTTTACGCCAAACATATCGTTTTGCATTGTGGCCAAACAATTCGATATTGGTTTCATCTGACCAGAGCACCTTCTTCCACATGTTTGCTGTGTCTCCCAGGTGCTTGTTGCAAACTTTAAACAACACTTTTTATGGATATCTTTGAGAAATGGCTTTCTTCTTGCCACTCTTCCACAAAGGCCAGATTTGTGCAGTGTACGAATGATTGTTGTCCTATGGACAGACTCTCCCACCTCAGCTGTAGATCTCTGCAGTTCATCCAGAGTGATCATGGGCCTCTTCGCTGCATCTCTGATCAGTCTTCTCCTTGTTCGAGATAAAAGTTTAGAGGGACGGCCGGGTCTTGGTAGATTTGCAGTGGTCTGATACTCCTTCCATTTCTATATGATTGCTTGCACAGTGCTCCTTGGGATGTTTAAAGCTTGGGAAATCTTTTTGTATCCAAATCCGGCTTTAAACTTCTCCACAACAGTATATCGGACCTGCCTGGTGTGTTCCTTGGTCTTCATGATGCTCTGCGCTTTGAACAGAACCCTGAGACTATCACAGAGCAGGTGCATTTATACGGAGACTTGATTACACACAGGTGGATTCTATTTATCATCATCAGTCATTTGGGACAACATTGGATCATTCATAGATCCTCACTGAACTTCTGGAGTGAGTTTGCTGCACTGAAAGTAAAGGAGCCGAATAATATTGCACGCCCCACTTTTCAGTTTTTTATTTGTTAAAAAAGTTTGACACATCCAATAAATTTCAGTCCACTTCACGATTGTGTCCCACTTGTTGTTGATTCTTCACAAAAAAATTAAATTAAATATCTTTATGTTTGAAGCCTGAAATGTGGCAAAAGTTTGAAAAGTTCAAGGGGTCGAATACTTTCACAAGGCACTATAGCTGAAAGTGAAAAACAAGCCTAAGATAGCAGAAGAAAGCAAAGAACACATTTTTTTCTCAATTAGGATTACCATACTTTTCACCATATATCACCATTTGTTAAAGTCCTCCCGCACATGTTCCTGTGGCCGCCATTTGGCAGTCAATTGATTTTTGGCACAACACCAGCCCACATTTCTGGTTTGTCAGTGGCGATGCATAACAAACGCTACACGTCAGCAGTGACTTATAATAGATGCAACTTATACAGTAAAGCGACATATTTGTTTGTTTGTTTTTTCCCCCCACTTTATTAGACATATTTGGACTGATGCGACTGATGCGACATGTACGGTACATAAGCAGAATTTAATACAAAAATTTGGAAATTAGCTAAAAAGCTCAAATTGGCTCAAAATAGCTGAAAAGTAGCTGAAAGGGCAGAAAGAAGCTTAAACCACCAGAAGGAAGTTAAAGGAGCTGAAATGAGCTAAAAATATGTGGAATTAGCTGAAAAAGCTAAAATTAGCACAAAACAGCTGTAGCTGAAATAGCAGTAAAAGCTGAAAGCAGCTGAAAGAAAGACAAAGCTGAAATAAGTAGAAAGAAATTAAGAAGACTGAAAATAGCCAAAATTATTATGAAAATGTTGAATTTATCTGCAAACAGTGAGCACAGTTTTGCCCAATTAGGCTGAAAGAAGCAGAAATGAGCACAAAAATGGAAAATATCTGAAAAAAGCTGAAATTAGCAACAAAAAAAATTACTGAAAAGTAGCTAAAAAGCATAAAGAGGATAAATTAACAGAAGGAAGTGGAAAGAGCACTTTTTTTTGCAGAATTAGGCTGAGAAAGTTGAAATTTAGTGCAATAACTGTGAAATTAGCTGGAAAAAAGGCAATAAAAAAACCCAAAACACACCTAAATAGTAGCTGAAATAGCAGAAAATGCTGAAACTTGCAGAAATAAGCTGAAAGGAGTATAACAAGCTGAAATTAACCGAAAAAAGTTGGAAGTAGCACACAAATGCTGTAGTTAGAAGAAATAATCTGAAAGGAGAATAAAACTGCTGAAAGTAGCTGAAAAACAAGTTTAAATTTGCACCAGGAAGCTGAAAGAAGCTGAACAGAACAAAAGGTGAAAGGAGCAGTAAAATATTGTAAACAAATGTAAAGATTTGAAGGATGGAACATGAGCTCAATTCATTTTCTGTGAGGAAAAAAAATGGCAGAAAATGATAAATATTTCAAAAAGCTAAAGTTGCACCAATACCAAAAGTCACAGCAGGATTGTCCTGAAAGAGCTGAATGTTCTGATTTATGATTTATGAAATAGCTTGAAAACTGCGAGACAAGAATCGCACCGAAAAACTTAGAAAAAAAAAAGGATCACAACAGTGTGAATGCTTCATAAACATTCACACAAAGAGTCACAAAGGTAAAATGGGCGGAGTGCACAAAGCTGCTGCTATAAGCGCGGCCTTCATATTCTTTTCAGAATACTATTTTTTTTTTTTAGATAGAAAAAGGGACAAAACCATGAGGAGATGGTAGTGGCATTACAAAAAAAAAAAAAGATCTATTCACACCTTGTCCTAACAGGACATGATTTAAGAAATCAAAAAACTCTGCCAGCAAGCACATTTACGAACATGTTACATATGCATTAATGACGAGGCGGTCCATGAAGCACCAACAGATTAATTGATTAGAGATGCACTCTGTAACTCTTGGTGTGTGTGCTGTTATGATGCAGAGTTTTCAATAAATTTGTAATTCAGTACACTCGTCTGCGTTTAACAAAACAATTGTTTTAAGTTAATTCAGCACTGGGTTTGTAAGCTCAAATAACATCCAGGTAGACAATAAAAATGGTTAAATCATGTCATCTGGACCCGTTTCAGAAATGGGTCCAGATGACATGATTTAGACATTTTTGTTTTTTGTTAATTCAGCACTGTTTTTCTGGATCAGATTGTTATCAGACGATACGAAACCGCAGATATTGGTATTGGATCGGAAGTGGGAAAAGAAAAAGTGGATTGGTGCATCCCTAGTCCTGATAAGATGATGGTCAGCCGGCACAGTTCTGATAAGCCTTCACGGGGGGGATAGATGAAGCTTTTCCATAGTTTACACATTTCCAGGAGAAATAGATAGTCGGCCTGTTCAAGGCCAGCCGGGAGTCCAATTCATCCATCCATTATCTTTTACCCGCTTCTTCCATTTAGGGTCACGGGGGTCACCAGTGCCCATGTACGGCAATCACTGTGCGAGGGGCGGGGTACACCCTGGATGGGTCGCAAGTCCATCACAGGGCGAGTCCAATTCAGATAACTACAATTCTTGATTTATTCAGGCAGACTATTTTTCCTTCAGCCTTGAGTCTGTGCTGGTACTTCCAAGGTCCAAAATGTCCAGATTAGGGTGCATTCCGCTGGACGGTGCTTACGAGCCTCTTCAAGGTCATTTTCATGCTGACGAGTCCAAAAGCCACAGGTAGCCTATGATTCAATCACTTCCATCTTGCAGTTTAGCTCGTAAATCAGCTGATTTTGAGTCCTCAAAGCATGAACCAAACCTTCACATAGGCAGCAGCCTGACGAGGTCCAAATTAGCTGCAGCCGTCTTCTTTGTATGTTGATAAACCAGGATCCAGACTATTCCAAAAACAGGAAACCTTTTATAATAAATCCAATTATATGCAATTTCGGCGTCCTTGATCAACAGCAGAGGTAGATGCATCACCCCCAGAGATATATCCAGCTGCACGTGTCGTCCGAGCAGATATGAGGGTTCTCCAGGACTCTGTTGCTTTGTTGAAAAGATTTTGTCATTTGTGTTGAAAGTCCAGTTGGTCAGATACAAAACAATAGTTTTCATTTCGGAAGATGTGTAAAAACAGGAGCTGCTCCGATACACAGACAGAGAGCAAAAAAGCAGGAGGAGAACAGGGAGCGAGGAGGAATGCATGCGCCCTGTTACAGAGCTAGTGGGGGGACTCAAGAAGAAAATTACGAAGGTGTATGAGCGAAACAATATTCAGACTTGTCTAACCGTGCACACGCATGTCTCTGCACCCCTTTCTTTGATACACGTGGAACTTAACTCTCCCTCAACATTTGAAAAGAATCCTGCAGCCAGTCTTTCCTCCACCTGCGCTCTGCTCTCCTACATTGCTGTCTAACGCCTTGAGTGATGTCATTCAGCCACGGTTCTGATCTAAGTTTCGTTTTTCTGGTTTTAATGGGAGCAACATGGTCCAGAACATTTAAACAGACAGAGTTGAACTGGGAGGTTAGCTCCTCGGTGGTAAGAGACACCGAGAGCTGTTCGATCCTCTCAGAGTTAAAAGCTTCAGTGAAATCAAGAAAATTATGAAGGTGTATGAGCAAAACAATATTCAGACTTGTCAAACCGTGCACACGCATGTCTCTGCACCCCTTTCTTTGATACATGTGGAACTGAGCGCACCTGAGACACCTCCCCTGGCACACCTTTATTTAAATATGTAAAATTTATGCAAATATGTCCTGCATGTGCGATTCCCGTCTCTGCATTTTAGATAATGATGTTTAAATGCAGCAAAACAAAAAAGCATTAATGGAATGTGAGTCAGAGACAGTCCTAAATAAGTAGTGAAGTGTAAATAGTAAATGGACTGTACTTATATAGCAACTTTCTATCTGATCAAGATACTCAAAGCACTTTACAACACAATAGCCCCTTATCCACAGGGCCTTTTGGGGCTCCTATGTAACTAGTTCAGGCCAATTGCATGGTTTATCCACAATGCCTTCAGCGGTGGAACCCACCCCATTTTTGGGACCTACTTCTCTGAAGTCCCAGGTCTGGTTCTTGTTGGGTCTAGATGTGACATCAGCGCACTCTAGGTCACTGATTGGTCAGGGGGCGTATTCATTGGTGGAGGGCGGAGATCAAGGAGGTCATCCATTTTGGTTGCATGTTGTTTTCTGGCTCTTCTTCTTCTAATACGTTAGTGGTGCTTAGAAAATAATGTAGCACTAGCGCCACCAGCTGGTAAGGTGCATTGATATTAATAATCCACCCACTAGAGGTGAACAAACCACCCACTAAACGGGAACTATGGGCACTGTGGAGACAGAAAAAAAGAGGTCCCACCAGAACCAGACACAACAGGGTCCAACAAGAACCGGCCCTATGGATAAGGGGCTAATCTGTGCCCTCATTCACCCATTCATACAGCACTCTACTAGATCTCTACAAATAATAATCAGTGCTTTATCACATTCATACACAGATCAGTCACACATTGGAGGCAATGAGGGGTTCATTGTCTTGCCCAGGAACAATTCGGCCTGTGACTTCTGGTGGAATCAAACCCCCAGCTCTTACATTGGAGGACGACTGCTCTAACTACTCCGCCACAGCCACCCCGTAAAACATGCCACACATGCACTAAGAGGAGTGTGAGTGTTATCGTTTGTTGAATGAAGTGAACCGGGGGACGCTGATCAGCCGGCGGTGTACTTCTGAGTCTGAGGCATTTTCAACTTAATGGACGTGTTTAATAATTTCATTACTGTAAACACAGAGGCACTCAGGGGCTTGGTGGAACTTAGAAATGTATTCTTTGAATAGTTGATGGGAAGAAATGAGTTGCTACGCTTCATCAAAGTGTGTCAGTTGGAAGTGTGGGAAAATTTTAAATATCTGGACACAATGTTGATGAGCCTGTCTTAATTCAATTGGCACGGCTCGTGGCCAACTGAGAAATACCCGATCAGTGTGATTTCTCGCTCTCATGCAAGGTAGGCACCCTTTTGTTCCTCTCCCATCCTCCTCCTGCTTTTTTGCTCTCTGTCTTGTGTAACGGAGCTCCTATTTACACATCTTCCGAAACAAAAAACTACTGTCAAGGATCTGGTCAGCTGGACTTTCAACTTAATCGATAAAATCTGTTCAACAAAGCGACAGGGTCCTGGAGAGCCCTCATGCCCCGCTGAGACACACGCAGCAGGTTACGTCATGGATAAGTTGATGTGCCTTTCTGTATTGTTTCAGAAGGACGCCAAAGATGTTCATATAATTGGAATCATGATAGCAGAGTTACTGCTTTTTGGCACCTGCAAATTCTTATGTTCTCGGCTATTGAAGAAGACGGCGGCAGCAGTTTGGGCCATGTCAAAACTGCTGAGTCTGTGTGAAGGTTTGGTTTGTGCTTCAAGGACTCAAAATCAGCTAATTTACGAGCTAAAACATAAGATTGAAGCAATTTGTGAGAATCGCAGGCCACATGTGGCTTGGGACTCGCCAGCATGTCGGAGACGACCTTGTAGGGGGCTCATAAACACAGACCAGTGAAATGCCCACAAATCTGGCCATTTTGGATCAAAAGTACCAGCAGGACTCAAAGCTGATGAGAAAAAACAGTCTGCATGAAAAAAGAAAATCAACAATTGTGGCTTATCTGAATCTGACTCCCTTGTTGGGCCTTGAAGCAGGCTGACATCAAATTTCTCCTGGGATATGTGTAAACTAAGGAAAGCTCTGTCTATTGCAACCCCCCCCAGGAACTTCTGTGAAGGCTTATCAGAGCTGTACTGGCTGACACCAACATCTTATCAGGACTATGGACTATCTGGAAGTGCTTTATGGACAAATCTCACCATCTTGTCATCAAATGCATATGTAATGTGCTTAGAAATGTGCTTGCTGGCAGAGTTTTTTGATGTCTAAGTCGTGTCCTGATAAGGACAAGACGTGAAAAGATATTTTTTGTAATACCACTATACTATCCTCATAACCTTTCCCCCTTTTCTATCTAAAAAGTATTCTGTAAAAGGATAAGAGGCCGCGCTCTCAGGAGCAGCTGTAACATGCACTCCGCCCATCTTTTGAACGACTGTACAACCATAATTTCATTGTATTTTGGTACAATGAAAATAAAGCCTGTTCTGATTCCGATTGTAGATTAAGCCCAAAAAGTGAACAGGGTGTGAATACTTTATGAAGCCCCTGTATTATTTGAATAAAATAAAAAATAAAAAACTGAACATTTGATTGTGTTTCCATAACAGATCCCACAGTTCATTCCAGACTCGACGACTTCACCAAGTAAGGAAGAGCATGAACTTGATGATCCTCTGCCTTCTGAGTTGAAGGAATGTTTGGATGCAGATGGGCAACAGGAGGAAGAGGTCCCTTCTGCTTCTTACACTGTTCAGCTTTACGCAGGGGATGATAGGGTTTTACTCAAGAAGTCATCACATTCTGATGATGTAGATGAAGTTAGGAACAGGAAAACTGAGTTGGACAATCCCTTTGATAGCTACATGTGTCACCTTGAGAAAAGTCTGCATGATGAAGGGCAGCAGATCAAAGATGAAGGTGGGGGTTTGAGCAAAGCAGGCTCTAATGTTGAGGAACATTCCCAGGTGTACACAGAGCTGTTGGATGTAGAGAATAAGTCATGTTTAAGTGAAAACTTGTCATCATTGAGTTTGACAAACAGAGAAGTAGCCAGCTACGGCCTGTGTGGTGGGCTTCAGGTGGTGTTGTGTCAGGGTGATATCACCACACTTAGAGCTGATGCTCTGGTGAATGATGCCAATGAGGATTTGAAACATAATGAAGGGGTTGCTGCTGACCTGAGTCAGGCAGGCGGTCCGGACATACAGTATCAGAGTGATGCTTTAATTAAAAACAAAGGAAAAATCCCTACAGGTGATGTGGTAGTGACCACAGGAGGTAACTTACACTGCATAAGACTGATGCATGCTGTTGGCCCTGTAGCTGGAAAAGCAGGTGGCAAAGAGAAGGTCTTACTAGAAAGAACAATCAGGCGGGCTCTGAACTTAGCAGAAACAATGAAATTTACATCCATTGCCTTGCCGTGCATCAGCTCAGGAGTGTTCGGTGTTCCTGTGGCTGTGTGCTGTGAGGCTATCGTGACTGTTGTTAAGGAGTTTGGTAGTCAGGGTGGGCGAAGTCTGAGTACAATCATCTTGATAGATGACAAAGAAGAAGTGGTGAGGACCATGCAAGAGGCATGTGACAGACTTTTTCTGGGTAACAGTACCATAAACCACACATCGAGTGGTGATCCAGTTGGACTGGAGTTCATGATGGATTCTACTGGTCAAGAAGCAGATACAGGAGAGGCTGATGGAGGTCCTAAGGGTGTTGTCAAAGTTGAGCTTGTTCAAGGGACAATTGAGACCCAACAGGTGAGAAATCCTTAAAGTTACAAGTTATCCACAGCAAAACTGAACAATTTATACAAATTAGAGTAATCTGTCTGTTGTACTTGCACCTGATGTCCACTTCCCGTTTTAGGTAGATGCCTTGGTATCTCCCATGGTCGGCAATGATCCTTTGTCCACTCGTGTTGGAAACCTTTTGAACAAAATGATTGGTTTTCAGCTGGTTGCAAAGTTCAGACGTGAATCAGGAGGTGAATCGGAGTTAGGCGAGTCAGTTCTGGTGGAGGCATTGCATGGACTTCCATCTAATGCCGTATTTTTCCTCAACCTTGCTCCGTGGGATGGAGATGAAAAGGGAGCTCCTGTTGAGGTGAGATAATGGAGCAATTCTATCAAACTTAGACTTTATGACCAGTTCTTCAGATTTTGTTTTCCAGTTACTGACACATAAGAATATTTGTTGTTGTTTTCCACAGATTCTCAGGCTTGGCATCAACAGCATCCTTGCTTCCTGTGATGAGAAAGGGTTTGGATCTGTGGCCTTTCCTGTTCTTGGAGCTGGGATTGTCCTGCAATTTCCTGAAACTGTGGTAGCCAGAGTTTTACTAGAGGAAATCCATACATTTGAACAAAACAGAAGCAGCAGCACACCGATTGTGATTCGCATCGTCATACACCCCGATGATGAAGAGACTGAACAGGTATCAAAATGCAATGGGTCATCAACACTGTTTATGTATAGGTAAAAGTATTCAAGTCTTCACTATTATTTACAGGAAATGATATATATTACTAATAGGGATGGGGCCGATTTGATCCAGTATCAGCATCGGCCTCCGATACCAGCATAATTTACGTATCGGATTTTTCCGATCCAACCTGCAGAGATTTCCAATCCATGATGCATGTTGGCTTCAAACTATGGAATGGATTTCCTGAATGGAGACGTGTCTCATGAGCCCAGAATAATAAGACTTGCCTCACATTCAGGAAATCCATTTCATAGTTTGCAGCCAGCTACAATGTGAGGGCTGAGCTAGCAGCACTGTGGCTAACAGCTAATAAACTTTTCATCTAAACATGTCCGCTGTGTGGAAGTATTTTACACTAAACACCACAAAACAAGACAGAAACGTGCAATGTCTGCAGAGCCATATCACCACATTAAACCACAGTAAAGTTAGTTTTACGATGGACATTCGAGCTCTGGGGCTTCAGCGGTCTGCTCCTCTCGCTGAACCCATAGCAGGCAGCCCAACCCCGGCCAGCCGCGTCCAATCTGCCCCGTTCAGTCTGCCAGTCTCCGAGGAGGGGCAGACTGAACGCGGCTGACCGAAATCAGGCTGCTTGCTGCGGATTGAACAAGAAGAAGACACTGCTGAAGCCCCGGAGCTCAAATGTTTACAGAGAAGTTGCTAAACTTCATCATAATTAATGATCAACCACTATCAGTTGTAGAAAACGAAGGATTTCTCAGCTTGATACTTGCAGCCAAGATATAGTTTACCCTCCAGGAGATATTTATTAGTACAACAGTACACAATTAAAAAAAAACATGATTTGAAAATTACAAGAAAATTA